AGGCCCACAATGTTCAGTATCCATCCTCACCCTAATCACATTATCACACCGCCAGAACTTGTTGCATTACAACACACCTTTGGAAAATAAACGGCCCAAGCCGTTGACCCATACAAACATTGTATGGGTCAAAATTATCGATTTTTCTTTTATGCCAAAAATCATTAGGATATTAAGTAAAGATCATGTTCCATGAAGGTATTTTGTAAATTTCCTACTGTAAATATATTAAAACTTAATTTTTGATTAGTAATATGCATTGCTAAGAACTTAATTTGGACAACTTTAAAGGCGATTTTCTCAATATTTAGATTTTTTTGCACCCTCAGATTCCAGATTTTCAAATAGTTGCATCTCGGCCAAATATTGTCCTATCCTACCAAACCATACATCAATGGAAAGCTTATTTATTCAGCTTTCAGATGATGTAAATTTTCTTTTTTTTTCACAATTTCACTTTGACTGGTTTTGTGGTCCACGGTCACATATATGCATTTAAACAGAGGTCACAGTGGCATTGACCACTAATTGAAACCAATAATTCATATCCTTTCTTGCAGGCCGTTTTAGAAAGAATTGTAAATGCACATTTTTCTTTTGCATGCATTCAAACACACTCTTTTTGACACTTGTAATGAATTATAACTGAGCGAAAACCTCTTCCTCACATAATTCAATAACACAAAAAAAAATCCTTACCCTTGAGACTCAACTCAAACTGAAGCTCTTAGATAATACTTGACATGGCGGTACACATTCCAGCTCGTAATTACGATTATTTCCCTGAATGTCCCACCATTCTCTAATTGAGGTTAAACGATAAAACACTACAGAAGGGCAAGCAAGACCCACCTAGAACTCCTTCCGTTCTAACTCCATTCAATTGCCTACTTTACACACTCCAGACACTTGAGGAGATTAATTGGTCAGGCAGAGATGATGGCTGGGTTTGGTCCATTTGCGGAAATGAACTCAAGCTGTTTTTTTTAAACTTCCTATCACAAACATTGCAAGTCAAAGATAGTGTATGAATACACTATGGGTCTTTTAAAAATGTTGACACCCATGCATTCAAAGAAACATCTGATCAGGTCAGATGGACCAAAAACTAGCCTATTTACAGGGCTTCCTTAAGAGCGATTAACTGATTAGCCATTCAGGAAACCCAGCGATTGGTTTATTTTGAAAAAGCTACATGTTTGATAATGGCTGTTACACTTCTTCTGGTCTATCACAGAAACCATATGATGAGGAGTTCTCCTATTGTGAGATAGTCTATGAATGTGATTCATAAGCGCTCAAATACAACTCAAAGATCTATGCTCTCACTGTACAGGGTTATTATTAAAGGGCTTCTCACGTTACACGATGACCGTTTTTAACCTGGCTAAACACCCAGATTTCCAAAGCATTTGTATAGATGCTTCCATCAGCAGTTACATAATCAAGACTGCCGAGCTGAGTGGAAGCATTTCCATATCAATGGCGTTCATAATGTTATGGCACCTGGTTTCATCAGAACTAAGTCTGCCTTAATGAAAGGTTTACTGTAACTGCTTATAAGCATGTCATCGTACGCAGGTGCGCATGCGCGACCAAAATAAAAAATGCGCAGTGTAAATAAGTTCTGAAAGCGCATTTGCGTACCGACATGGTTGACAGCTGTTGCACAATTACAATTTTAGATAGACAAACTGTAAGAATGTATACGATTTCTATTCAAACTGAATAGATAAATAAATCTAGGCTACCTGCTGCCGTTTTCAAAGCACAATGCAAAACTGTGACATTTAATTCACTGACGCTCTTTAATCGGCAGCGCTAAACCCGGAAGCGCATATACTTACTTGCCTGCAACCCGCCAAAATAAAAGCCTGCTGATTTTAAAGGGGTCC